TTGTCACCAAGCAAACAAGATGGGGTAATCCTGCCAGCAGGGATTTCAGGCCAGTGGACAGCAGGAGGAAAATGCTCACCACGGGAGGTTCTGGAGTTGGGCAAGATGAGGGAGGGTGTTGCGTGTCAGGAGGCTGGGACAATGCCAGCCAGCACTGGTGTGGGGCTCAGGTGGAGCCACGTCTCAGAGCAGCAGATGATCCAGCCTCGATGTGCCCCCTTCCTTAAGTGTCGCTGTTTTCCCGAGGGCATTTCCTTCACTCTAATGTGGTGTCACCCATTACACTCTCAGATGAAGTGACTTTATTTTAGCGTGTCCAACACTGTTATTGCTGCCTCCTGGGAAGTTGCAGCACTGATGATTTATGGAGCCTACTGCTCCTACCGAAGAAGGGGCAGGCTTTGTTTGGAACCACTATTTGTCACACTAGAGCTGAGATGTCCCAGAAACACACATTTTCTTTGCTCATGTGGCACTGTTGCTCTGGTGCTACTCTCCCATCCCTTCTTTGCCAATTGTTTTTCCAAATTTCATATTTACTGATCCTCCACTCATGAAAGCACTTTAGGATCTAATTGCCTCTGACTATAGAAGTGGGCTCTCAAAATTCATCTTCAGTGTGTGTTTAAGCGCCTTACTGGGTGGAAGTCAGAGGGACAAAGATTACAGATCTTTCTTTGCAAGCCACCCAATCCCCCTCCTCCCCATCAGCTTTGTCAATGGCAGGAGCAGAGAGGGAGTTATATAGCCTGAATTGTGCTAGGACAGATGTACAGACTGTAACTCAACATTGTTTGATATCCTTCCTCCACAAACCGAGTCTGGCACCCCTCCTGGAGAGGTTATATTGTGGAGTGGGAAAACAAACAATCCTGCCAATTGTTAGTGAGGGAAATAAAACAGAGCAGAAGCTGCTTATCAGAGATCTGCATTTTGAGAAAAATTCACTGAATCCTGAGGAAGGAAGGAAAGATTCTCTGCAGAGCTTCAAGTATTCTCCTGACAATCCCATCCTGCAGGAGCTGGGGCTGGAAGCTGGACTTCTTCCTATTGTGAATACTGAGTTTCAAAAATTAACATAGCAGAAACCCCCAGACTGCAGCAGTGCTGCAAAGCTATAATTAAAACAAAACAAAGCAAAACACATTAGTCTGATTGGCACAGATTGTTGTTTGTGAATTGTGATTTTTAGTAACAGTAGGTTACTGTTACTAAAGCCCAGAGAAATCAAAGTCCAGAAATCTGGAGGAGTCTGAGGCAAAATGTTCCCTCATCCCAGTCAGTCTGGAGAATGTCTGAAGCCCAGATCTTAATTTTGCCAAAGTTTGCAAAATTGTTTAGATTCACTTGCCTTGCACCACAATGGATTTGGCTAACTTTCTCTTCCCTTCATGAGACTTTTGATTTCGTGTGGATCAGTTTCTGAGAGGACAGAGGACTGTGTGTCTTGGTGCAATTAGATGAAGAGCTGTAATGCTTTTAATTTATCTTTTAAAAATAACTTGAAAACATCATCAATCCAAGCATCTCCAAGGTTGAAGAGGTAAATGACAAAAATCTATTTTCCCCACAGTTTGAAGTGTTTCTCTCTCCACTACCCCTCAGACTTTGTAGAGATTGAAGGTATATCACAACTCCTTAACCTATGAGGAAAAAGATGTCTATGGTCACAGAGCTGCTTGACAGATAAGCCCCATGCCAGATTTGATTTACATCAGAGAAAATACACTGAAGAGTCTGCAAAACTATATTTTTAAGTAAAAGGTAACCCAGTTAAATTGAAACAGCTGGGGAGCAAAGAGAATACGAAGAGTGTCTAAGCTATAATGATAGGCAGTGGGGACCTTCTGTGTTACTGTGCTGGAGTGCAAATCTGCACCATGAACATAAACCTACACAGGAATTTCAGTCCAATATTGAAGTAAAATGACCAGAGGTCAAACAAACTTGACTTTGAGAAGTCACTGATCTGAACATCTTACATGAGACATAAAACTGCAGCTGGGACAAGCAGCTTTTCACATCTCTGCAGGGGCTTGAAGCGTAGCAGTGTTTTTCAGGCAGAACACAAGTCACATGTTGGTATCTACCTTAAAGAAAAGCAGAGATACTCTGAAGGACACCTGCCAACAGTACAGAACACCTCAGGAAAACATGGAGAACTAAAACAACAAACAGTAGAAGAATCAGGAATGCAGAACACAACCACTACCAAGGAATGAAAAAGACCTGAACCTAACATCTGGATCATTCTCTGCAGCATCTTCTTCCCTCAGCATGCTACCCAAAACCTGCCAAGCCACACGGCAGGGCAGCACAGCTTCCATGCCTGTGCCTGCTCGCAGCCTGCTGCGATTTCAGTGCACAAAGCTCCACCTAGTGAGGGGACAGGCTGTACTACACATTCAGCACCCAAGGTAAGAACGGATGGACTCGACACTAAAAAGCCTAGAAGATAAACCTTTAGCATTACACTGCCCCGGAGTTAATAATCCATCACACATACACTCCAAGTCCCATCAGACAAGAGTACACCCTCTTCTCTATGCCAGAAACATTTTCTTCCAGCATCACCTGGCTGAAGTGACTTTTTAAGAACACAACTGAAGTGACATCACTTGGCTTTCATCTCACTGCTGCTCACCTCTACCTCACAAGGGACTGACCTGAAGCTCTCTGACTTCACAGGAAGTCCAACTTCAAATCAACATCCTCTTTCTGATGATCAAAACAAATACACCACTAGTGCTGTATGTCCAAAAGTTTTAGTGCATGGTCTTCACTGTTCAGAAAAGTTATTGCATTAAATTCTAATACATAAATTTATCTGAATTTAAAAAAATAATTTTACACAATTTTGTCACAGCAGCTAAAGGAAACCAGATTTTATACGCAGTTGTTTCAAAAAACCCCCAATATTAGTTCTTTCTCAAATCAGCAGAACTGTTATCATATCATTCAGCAGTTACTGCAAATCCCAACTCGAACACTACAACCACAAGTGTACAGCTCAGGAAAAGGAAAGTGCCATTCCAAAACTGAAATTTATTGAACTATGACTCAGCATACACTGATCTTTCTCTGTTAAGTACGTTTGTATAAAAGAGCGTTGAGTTTAATTCCATATTATTTTCTTTATGTTACTGTTTTTCTTTAATTATGACTTTAATAGATTCACAAGTTACAAAATATCAAAGTCACTTGTAGCAGTTTGTACAAACCCAAACCTGTTTGAATTGTGACAGGCACAAGAACATGTTTGATGACCCACATGAAAAGCCAGATACCTTGATGCATTAAAACCAACACCAGTGTAAGCCCCACTGCTCCATGGATGACAGCAGAGACAAAAGAAGGCTCAGTGTGCCATAAACAGATTGATGAAGGGCGCAGTGACAGAGGCATAACAGAGCATGTGGCAGAATTACGTTCTACATTTCATCCTCTGATGAGGGTGAGCTGTGCTACACCAGCTCACAATAGAAGCATGAACACGGCTCTCCTCCTTTTCAGCCTCATGTTAATGCTTGGGAACTGGGAAACTACAATTCAGCTTCTTGCATAAAATCCCCAAGCATCACAATAATCAGTCTAGAGTTCCCGATCTAACCCTTCTCTTGCTAATGCACACAAAGATAAGGCTCATCTGTATTTATTCTTTCTTCTACTGTTAAAAAGAAAAGGAATATATCTGTGTTCACAGAAAAAAAGCCATCCCCTTCTCCCTCTCCTCTAAAACACGCAACACAAGAGAGAGCTCTAATTTATAATTCACTTGAAAGTACTTCTCAGATTACGTTGACACCTTTCCCACTTTAAACATATGACAGCTTATATTACTTTGCTATACTTCACTAAGTTCTAATATCAAAAACAGTTCACTACTGAAATAACACCAATAGGACTCTCTCTCTCTTTGACAGAACATGTCAGACAAGTTCTAACTCTCACTGTCCCTGTCCCTTAAAATAAAAGTAGAGCTATTTCACTGGTTTTCAATCAATGTAAGCTGGGAGCAAGAAGTTACCCTTTAAAAACATTTTGTACGAGTTCTTTTGTGAATTGCTAGCAAAAGGCCCAAATACTGAAAAACAAGTGAGCAGAGACAATAGGATATTTTACAAAACCTGACAGTTCAAAAGGCATCCAAAGAGCAAGAGAACAAAACCCAGCCACTGAAGTGAAAACTGCATTGCACTAGCACTATGAAAATAGGGAGAAATTAAGAAGCTTCTGTGTAATAGTTACACCGAATGTTTTACTAGTGATACCTTTTGTTTGTTCAGGCAGTCACAAGGCATCCATTACTATGATACAAACTGCAAAAGCTTTAATTTGAAAGCATTATAGGAATAGGAGATTTAGTTATTCCAGTTAAGGACACTTTTTGCGGGCCTAATACAAGGTTCCTTAGCTGTAACATGATTTTCTCACAACTAAGAAAGTTTGCACAGAAGCGGAAGAAGTTTGCACAGCTTAGAAGTTGAAGCTGACAGCTTTCCAAAGCCAGTCTTGACACAAGACTTGGCTTATTTTACTTTCACAGACACATACTGCACAAGACAGCCAACACCATTCAATCAGAGCAGGTGTATAAACTTTTCCCATCAACATTAAATCTGCCAACCAAATCCTTGTGATTTCTGCAAAAAAGATCGTTGTTCTTGCTTATTGCTGTATTATAGGAAATTATGCTAGTTGCTGCAGGAGATAGTGTATATTTCAAAGTTCACATCTCTTACAAAAAGCCTCACAGTCTCTTCAACAGGTGCTGCTTCTGTACAGCAAAACTAGCATTCAATCTCTTCCTAATAAAACAGTCCCTTCAGTCCCTCTCCCTGCCCTGCATGTCTCAAGAGCATTTATGTCTCTTTGTTACGGTTCCAACCAGGAGACAACGACCCATAATGCATTTGTGACAGCACCTCAAGCAACAGTGCACACTTCACTAAATGGACATGATCCCAATTAGGTCCAGGAGAAAACATGGAAGAAGAACACAAAGAGGAAGAGAAGCAATTTATTCTCACTTGTCTTGAAGGGAACAAATGGTTCTGACAGCAGGCTTGTTTTCAGACAGCTATAACTTAGCAGGCTGACAGGCCAGCTTATTAAACAGAAGAAGCCCCTTCACCCAAACACCAGAACCTATACTAAAAAATATTTTTATTTCAATCTGCCTCCAAAATGAATGAAGATAATCTCAATGTTAAATAAAAGTCTGCATTTCTACCACAAAAATCACATTGTGCAAACCCATGTCATTTATCTGCAGTGCTGAGTCACATCTGGATGGTGGATGTGCCTCACTGAATACCACACCCTGGGAATGGTTCAGCACTTCCCCTCCTACCAGAACACTGCCTCAAAATAGAATTGCTACAGAGACATGATGAGAATTGATCTTTTCCTGCCATCTGCTGTATATGTAGGCAAGACTTTCACAAACAATTGGCCAAAATTTGTGTATTACAGTTATTTCCCAAGTCATAAATACTACACAAGCCCTTCATACAGAATATGCTGTTCAAGGACATTGTGACCTCCACCTTCTCACTTCCCTACACCCCATCCACCAAGTAAAGCATTGCATGCTTGCAGGCATTGATTCAAAGTCTCCAGCTTCTGGAATGCAGCAGATAAGAGTTCTGCATCTTTCAGGGACTCTAAAAACCCCTGTTTAGTTCATCTGTTCAATGTACAACATCTTCAGTAAGTGCTGCCACCAACTGTTCCACCAGGAACACTTAGGTTCACTTCACACCACAGAGGTGGTACTTTCCGGATTTACACGCATCAGTCTTGAGGCATTTCTCAGATCCTGTAGCTGCTTGGCTGGCTTTCCAACTCCTTCCTCAAACCTTTTTTCCACAACAGGAAGGACAGTTTCATACAGGAAAGAGGCATTCTGCCTAATGAATGCTTTTTTCTCAGGGTCCTGTTCACACCGTAAACTGTAATCGACGTGCTGGACAGCCACCAGGATGATTTCCACCAGACTCTCCAAAAGAACCATGTGCAGCTCTGGAAAATAAAGCTTTAATGCTTCCTCCAAGAAGGCCATAGTCTGCTTAGTGAAAGCTACTACAGTGTAACTGAGGTTCACCCAGCAGTCATCACCCGTGTATTGGTCAAAATTGCCCACCCCACAGCTCCTCATCTCCTCCCTGAGCTTCCCCAGTGCCTCTGGAGTCATCAGGTTCATCTTTCTCCACATCTCCTCAGAGTTGCGGTGCTTGGTGGCCTCGATGATGATATCCTTGTAGCTCTGTAAAGCACCTTTGATATCCTTTACCAGGAGGGCGTGAATAATGAAGGTGAGATCCAGCCCAATCTCGCTCAGCTGCTTGCAGTGCTCTTTAGCCACCTGGGATATGAAGAAAAGCAAGAGATGTTATTACTGTGCAGGCTCCCTTTACATCTTACACATTTATCGAATTTATCTCAGAAAACTGAGAAGTGTTACTCATACTTATTTCTCATGCCTTAAGAATCTCATTAATGAGAAATTAATAACTGAAAGATACACTCTGTCAGTCAAAAACACTCAGGACAATTACACTATAACCCACTCAAACATAGGCTTTTTAATCTTCCCCTCCCAATTAGCAGCTGAAAGAAAGCATAACCTGAAAAAGTTAATCTTACAAAAGAAGTATGAAAATGTAGCTAAGGACAGCCTTGGAAAACAAAAAGAAAGTTTTGAAGTACTAATAATTCAGACGTAGCTTATGTAAATTGTTAGGATCTCCTACTAGTTCAAGGCAAATTAAGAATCAACACATTTTGCATTCTTGATAAAGGCAGAGTTTTTCTTGGTATTATAAGGTATTATGACCTTAAGGCTTTCCTCTGTTAAACTGAGAAAACCCAAACAAACCTCGAATGAATTTCAACGCAGGAAACCTCCCTGGAGACCCACACAAGAGTCAACAGCTAAACTAGAGTTAGAAAAGAGAATTTAAAGCTTTGAAGCCTTTGTTTCAGCTATTGTGCCCCACCACCCCCCTCTTTGGACTGTCTTACCTTGACACACTCTGCCGCAGTTGACAAACTCTCTTTGCTATCAAATACTTGCTTACTGAAGGCATCTACAAACATCCTCATGGACGAGCGGGCCCAGACCACAAAGGCCGAGTAGCAGCCGTTGTTGCCGGCGAAGTCCGTCTCGAACTCCCTGGCCGTCTCCAGGAGGCTGGTGAAGAAGACGTGGCAGAGCTTGTGGATGTAGAGCAGCGTGGCGCCCTCGATGCGCAGCTGCCGGATGGCCGTCTGCACGGCGGCCGCCCGGTTCTTCAGGAACAGCTCGCAGGCCTTGGTGGACTGGCCCAGGCGAATGAGCTGGGACACGGCCCGGCGGGTGGCCCGCGGGCCCCCTCGCAGCGAGCGGTCCGGGGACAGCTCGAACACCAGAACGTCCGTGAGCTGCCGGACGCGCTCATCCACCTTGGCCCGCAGCTCCTTGACGGGCTGGCTCACGGGTTTGTCCGCCAGGTACTCGTTCAGCTTATCCAACAGGTCCACCGCCCCCTCGAAATCCCGCTGGGCAATGCAGACGTCCAGGTCCTCGGGCAGCTCCTGGATCCATTCAAGCGAGAGGTCAACAACCTCCTCCTCAGCGGAGGGCTCATCCTCCTCCTCCTCGTCCTCATCCTCGTCGAAGGGGTTGGTGGATTCGGGGGGCGTCGGGGCGGGCCGGGGCAGGGCCTCCTGCTCCAGGCGCCGCTTCTCGCTCAGGGCACGGTTGCGCTTGGTCTCCTCCAGCACCTCCAGCCACTCCTTCTTGATCTTGGCGTTCTCAGCCTGGAAGATGCGGCTCTCGGGGAACATGAGCAGCTTGAACATGTCCTTCATAGGCGGGTTGTCCTTGACGTTGACCACGGCCAGCCCGTCGAGGGGGTACAGGGCGTCGTAGCGGTAGGCGCCGCGGCGGTTGGGCAGCGCGGTGGCCACGAGCAGGCAGTCGTTCATGAGGAAGGCGTGCACCCGCTGGATCTGCGCCATGTGGTCCGCATCGTACTCCACCAGGTCGCCGTTGTAGACCAGGTACTTGCCGGGGCTCTCGGGCAGGAGGTCGCGGCAGCCCTCCACCTTCTCCAGGAGGGTGGTGAGAGTGCGCTGCCGCCCCTCCTCGTTGGCCGCCGCATCCTTGGCCGAGAGCGGCAGGAAGGGGTCGGCGGCGGCGGCGCGGCGGGCGCCCAGCGCGGGGTCGTCGCGGTCGGCCTGGAGGAGCAGGGCCTGGGTGACGGCCTCCATGATGCCCTTCTGCTCGGTGAGGATGTGGCTGAGCTGGTACATCTCGCTCTCCAGGTAGCTGATCTCCCGCGCCGTCTCGATGAACTGCCGGTAGTTTTGGTAGACGTTCCGCTTCAGGCTCTGCGCGGTCTCCTCGCTCAGCGCCTGGATGCGCTGCCGGTGCTCCTGTAGGTCCCGGTCCCCGTCCGACTGCTGCGACAGCTGCTTCACGTACTCCCCCGCCGCAAAGCCGCCCGACTCCAGCTGCCGCCGCAGCCGGCTCCCGCCGCCGCCCTCGCCCAGCGACAGCGCCATGTCCGCGCCGCAGCCGCCGCCGCCCGGTGCCCGCCCCGCCGCCACCGGGGACACCGCGCCGCGCCTGCGCCCCGCAGCTCGGCTCGGTGACGCGATGGGACCGCGCCGGGCGGGCGAGGGCGGAGGGAAGGGAAGGAAGGGTCAGAGGGAAGGGAAGGAAGGGGCGGAGGAAAGGGAAGGGTTGGAGAGAAGGGAAGGGAAGGAAGGGGCGGAGGGGACTCTGCCGGCGCGCGCAGCCGGAAGGACGCGGTGGCGACAGCAGCAGCAGCCCGCGGGTCGGTGCTGCGCGTGCGCCGCGGCGGCTGCGGATCCCGGTTGCCGATCCCGGTTGCGGCTCTGCCTGCCGACGGGAGCTGTACTCGGGATGGAGGACGAGGATTTCTTGTTGGCCCTCAGGCTGCAGCAGGAGTGGGAAGAGCAGGACAAGGCAGCGGTAGAGGCGGCGGCGGCAGCGACAGCGGCAGCGTGCCCTGATGTCTCTCCGTACCGCTCGTCCCTCCGCCCGCTGTCGGTGGTGGACGAGGCGTGGGAGCTGCTGGACCCCAGCCCCGACGTGCACGGCCTGTTCGTGCATTTCAACCAGACGCTCTTCTGGGGCAAGCTGGAGGCTGTCACGGTGTCCTGGAGCCCCCGCATGACCAGGTGCGCCACCGGGGGTTGTGGGGCCGAGCGCCGGCCGAGCTCCTGGGGCTGCCCTGTCCCGGGGGCCGGGGGATGTGTGGCGGCGGTCGGCAGGGCCGGGAAGGCGGCGGGGAGGCCGATCCGTGTGTTCGGGGAGCTGCCCGCCGCGCCTCCGCCGGCCCTGGCCGTGTGCGCGGTGTCGGGGCGGTGAGAAGGACCGGCAGCCATGGAGCTCGGCGTGCGGCTGCCAGTGTCGGGGAGGAGCTGTCACTTGTCGCTCTGCGCTGCTCCTCGCTGTGCCCCGCTAGCGCCGTGCTGCTGCCACAGCTTCTCTTCCCGGGCACCTGAATGTCCTTACGGCGGAGCCCGTACGGCGGGACATGAGTTGGTCGCTGTCGTTGTCTCCCTTGCCTTGCATCTGTCGTCCCTGGCAGCTGTCAAGGACTTTCCTCGAGATGCAGGCAAGCCGAAGGGAGTTAAAACGGAAGAAATTAGATAATATGTGCGGAACTCACGTAGTCGTGTTTTGGTTCTCAGTCTTTATGATAATTTTACTGCACGGCAGAAAGGCAAATATGAACTAATAATAGTGTATTAGAAAAATTTAGAATAGACTAGGAAGGGGCATAGAGAAGAAATCTGAGGTTAAACAAACCCAGGAATCTTTGAAGTGCAGTCTGCAGTTCTGCAGCAGATGCAATTGCTGGTGGCTGGAGTCCCGCCACCTCTTATACTCTGCTAGTTGCAGTATTCTTTAGACAATTGGAAATAGTCGGCTATTGCACTGATAGAGGACTAACTCAGTAGGACTAACACAGACAAAAAAAGTAGTGTTTGCTGGATTAGTGCACAGAAGTATGTAGGTCCGGTATGAGTCAAAAGTTGATGAAGGGTGGGAAATGAAATTGAAACAATCAGCAATTAAGTCAGTGTTTGCTGCCATGAATCTCCAGCCTCTGTGTAATGTATTTCAGTCCATCACAAGTTCTAAAGGAAACATTCTTCTGCTTTCAAAACAGGTTTTTCTACTCTAAGGAACTTGGGGATTTTTTTTCTTTGCTTAACTGTGCTGAGTTTTTCAAGTAACTGCTCAAAGTGATTTTATTCCATGTTCTGAGTGACCTAGCATGTGTTTACAGGGGATGACATTTTAACTTAAATTCTCTGTTTACTTTATGTGCTGCAGAAACAAATAGATTTTCATATTTGCTTTCTGCTTTTCCTTTCAGCTCTGCTGGTATCTGTTCATATCACGAAAGAAGTGGGTTGTGTTCCATTCGTCTCAGTGAGCCGCTTCTGAAGTTACGGCCCAGGAAGGATCTTGTGGAGGTATTTAAACGTGGCTTATGAATCTGCACATAAAGTGTATTGTGCCCGCCCCCCCTCCTTCTGCTTCATACAAAGATTTAGATTTCATAGTGGGATTCCTTTATGTAGTAACTTATAGATCATAAAATAGTGGTGGCTTTACTGTTATGTTTGTGTGGCTTGTGTTGCAGTACCATGGCAGTCTTTAGTTTTATGTTTCTAAGTGGGCAACTCCAAGCAGATGTCTAAAGGCAGTTTATTTTATTGACTTTATATAGAGAAAAAACCACCTCAAGTTTTTAACCCCTAAATTATCCTTTAATACTCAAACCAAACATAGACTGTAGTTTCGAAAGGACCAACAGCAAAAATAGAAGGATGTAGGATATGACTTAACATGACTTTTTGTTGTTTCTTGGGCCTCTGCCAGAGCTGCTGCTTTGAGCTGGCTGAACATTCATATTTGCCTAAGAACAGAAATGCTGTAGAGTTTTAGCTTGCTCAAAAGTGGCACTTTTTTGGGGTTGTGTAGAGGATGATGTCTTTAAAGATGTGATTAAGTTTGAGGATTATTTCTCTGTTTTGGAATGCTGCTCATTGTAATGATATTCTGCAGTGTGTTTTAGTGATGTGGGAATAGGGGTAATTTGGTTTGACAGATCAAAGTATTATGTTTTTATGACCCAGACTGAATATGTGAATAATCAAAGATATGATCAGTACTACAATCAGTGTAGAAGAGTAAAATCCTTGCAGCTTAATAATGAAAATGAAAATGCAATGCTTTTCATTGAATACCTAATGGTTTCATCATTTCAGACATTGTTGCATGAAATGATCCATGCCCTGCTCTTTGTTACTCATAACTACAAAGACCGTGAGTCTCATGGACCAGAGTTCTGCAAGCACATGCGTCGCATTAATCTCTTGACTGGAGCCAATGTCACAGTAAGATTAATCCTCTTCACCTGATTTCATAGATTTTCTTTCTTTTCTTTCTTTCTGATTTAATAATAATTTTCTTCCTGATTAGCTGTTTTAGTTAATTGGTGAGGAATACATAACATTCTTGTTAGACATTCCACAGTTGGTCCCAATATAAATTTGCATCCAAGTGTGTGCCAGTTCCATAGTTATTTTGTTGGAAACAGTGGTGGGAACAGGTTGAGGAAGATGTGGTGAGTTATTAGTCATATAATTTTCAGGTATGTTCTCTGTAAGAAATTTTCGTTAAGCTTTTGTGGTAAACTAGAAACAGCTTAATGGTAGCAGGGACAGAAGTGTTCCATGTGAAGAGCAGTCAAGATTTATGTCAATAGATGATAATGATATTTATGTCAATATTTAAAAATAATATATCTAATTAGATCAGTTAAGGTAATAACAAGGTATAACTGAATAACTGAAAGGAGAATACAATACTGGTGTTGTTTGCCATGCATTCTAAACAATTCATCTTCTAGGTAAAATTGTAGATAGAATTCCAAAGTAATTTTATTGCATTTCAAACAAGATAACCAGGACGTATTCCTGCATATCCTGTCTTTTTTTTAAAAGCTTTGTTTGAATGGTAGCTGAGTGTTGATCAAATTTTACTCAGGTCCAGCTCTTTTAACTGCTAATATAAAAATCACAGCAGTAGTGGAATTGAATGGAAATAGACTTTTTTAAAAATATTATAGAGCTAGTGATATAAAATGTGTAACTTCCTGAATGACTGGGGGTTTTTTTGTTTGTTTTTTTTCTGTTTAACGTAGATCTATCACAATTTTTACGATGAGATTAATTTGTACCGCCAGCACTGGTGGCGATGCAATGGCCCCTGCCAAAACAGAGCGCCTTACTTTGGATATGTGAAGCGTTCAATGAACAGAGCACCCTCTGCACATGACTTCTGGTGGGATGAACATCAAAGGACGTGTGGGGGCACGTTCACAAAAGTGAAGGAACCAGAGAAATTCTCAGAGAAGTCCAAGCAGAAAACCCAGACAGCAAAACCTCCACATTTCAAGTCAACTAACAAAGGTATTTTATGATTTTCTTTTCCAAACTGATTTTTGTCCAGATGTTTTCTTGAACAAATGTGGACCAAACACTACATAAGCTTGATTTAGATGCTACTGTTACACAGCCAAAGAACAGGGTCTCTTTGTTTGTGCACTTCTAGGCTGCTCCTCAACTGAATTGTCTACAAAAAATTTCGTTTCATGCATTATTTTCAAGCAGCAGATATTTTTGTGTGAAGCACCTCAAATACTAAGCTCATGATTTTTTTAATGAAAAAATTATTAACTTAGTTTTTAATCTGATTTTGCAGGCAATACACAAATGCAAGGTATGCAAGACCTGACTCCTTTTAGTGGAATGGGATATCGGCTTGGAGGAGGAGATGGTGTACTTTCTGAGAAAAACACAAATGCCAGCAGCTCCACTGAAAATAGTGAAGTGCATGGCTCACTGCATCATTCAGCAGTAAGGATAATGCCAATCCCTAAAAAGGAGAAAAAACTGGAAAAATTACCCCACAGTGGCATCTTTCTGTTTCATGCCAATGGTGCCAGTGAGAAGAGCAACTTATCTTTAAAGCGTGAGTTTCCGAAACCATGTGCTGCTAGTGCAGAAGATGATGAGAACGACTGTGGGTTCCCTGCTAGGGTGGCTCGTGTTGCTGAAGAAACGTCAAGCCAAGGCTCACCAGTTGGCAAGAGGGCTATGCCATCTTCTAACTGGTCACCAAAACGAATTTGTTTGGAGCAGACCCCAAGAGCTCAGGGTGCATCTGAGAAAAAACGCTTAGAATGTGCTAATACACTGCAGCGATGGCCAAAAGAGGAAGATAAAACTGCCTTTGAAAAGTATTTCATCCAAAAGGGGGGTACTGATGTCACTACAACTACAAAAAGCAGAGCTGAACTTCTAGAGTCCTCTGCAGGTCCCAGCAATCCTGTGAGGCAGGATAGAAGAGTCAGTTGTCCTGTCTGTGAGACTGATGTTTTGGAATCTAAAATAAATGAACATCTTGATTCTTGTCTTGCGTAAAACAGCAGAAAGTTTCTTAAAAAGGTAAACCAGGGCTGGAAGCATTGTTTGAAAGGTAATTTGCTCAGGGTTTGTTCAGCTGTGGTTACACCCCTGTGTGCCTGTTCTGAAATGGAATTTAAAATGTAAGTGACCTCCGTATCCTCATGCTAGTAAGTAAAAATTGTGTTGAATGCTGCTAGGAATATTGGTAAAGACTGTTCCTGGAAATGTCATAAAAGCTTTCATGATTTCCCAGTTAAACTTCCAGTGCTATACAGGACAAATTAGGGTTAAAGGGACATTACCTGCCAGTCTGTATTCTTCTGGAAGCTAGCTAGGTTCTTGGTTAGCAGGCCAGTCAGTTGAGTGCTAAAGCCATTGTGCCATGAAAAGTTATGAGTGCCAGGCACATGTGTTTTCCATGTGAGCTTCCTGAAACGTTCTCTTGCTGCACTAAGGTATTTAACGGGTTAAACATTAAGCAGTTTTATTCCTTACAACCAGTAAAACTGACTGTATGTATATTTGCTTAAAAAAAATAGTTTTATATAAATAGCTTTTAAACAAAATTGGTTTATATCTTCTTACTGTGATTTTAAATGGCTGTATCAGCCTGGTTTGTACATGTTTACAGTATTACTGCTGCTCTCTTAACTCATTTTAAATGCTTTGTATTTTAAAAATTATTGACACTACAGAAGATTAATGTAAATTACTTTGTTCTTGCATACTTTGAATAAATTGTTACTGAAGTTTAAATTTCCACTAAGCCTGGCCATTTTGTGTCATTTACCAGTGGGTTCACCTATATATTTGCTGACAATCTTGTTTATTAGAGCCTTTCTGTATTAACACTTTTCCTTCTTAAATTTCCCTGTAAAAACAGGTGCTGGTGCTGCTTTCAACTGCTGCTTTCTCCATCCTGTTTTAAACAGTTTCCCTAATGTTGCACTTCTGTGAAAAATTTTACAAATACTGATAGTAAAACTTGCTTTGCCATGTTAAATTTACATACTTCCTTATTAAAGCTGCAGCATTTATCAGTGTTTCCAGTGATACTTGACATTTTCAAGGACAGGACTACCAAGAAATATTTGTATTATCTTATGTTTTTAAGATGAGGATGAGAGTTGTACCACAAAGTATCTCTCATGTTGTGAAGCATTTTTGAGAGATCTTTCCATTAAAATTGCTCTCTGCACTTTCCTCATTTTTCTTTCCTACTGGGATAGATGGGAGTAAAGGAGAAGGGTTGAGGGTATTATTAAATGTGGGGATTTTTTCCTGGTGTCTTCTTTTACTTCTGAATTGTTCATTTGAACAACAAACAGAAAATAAATGAAGAATTGAGTAGGCTGTTGAGGGAGGGGGGAACTTAAGCTGTAGGCAAGTCTGTCCCTCATATACACAGGTCCTAAAATAGATCATTGTCCAAACAATTGAGCAATTCTGGATTAGCTATGGAAAAATAGCACCTCTGTCATATGTTTTTACAAGGAAGTATTCTAATACCAGGACCTCTTTTATCCAGAGAGGAAGGCTTTGCAGTTGCTATTTATTGCAGGGTGTTATTAATGGGTCATGGCTACCTTCATTTTGGGTATTTACTACAAATGCTGTTTGTGTAAAATGTTGTGCTTGAATACAGTGTCCTACCCACAAGGTAACTACTAGTATGTTTTTAAAATACACTGCTCAATTTGGGTCAAAGGTGAGAAATTTCATCTTCTCTATTGGTTGTCTTTGTCCTTGAGTGAGTTTAGATACTGCCTGGAACAACACAAGCTGTCAGTGAGCCTTGAACAAACACGCTTCACTGAAATGCAGCATAAGTTGCCTGAATGGAAATCTGAGAAACAAGTTAATAGACTCGATTTCTGAGGCAAAGCAGCTATGAAGGAGGGTCAAGCCTGTGTGTGCATTTTGTCAGCAGAAGGTTCTGCAAAGTACAGGAAAAAGCTATCTCATTTTGTGGTGACCTATTAGGATTGCTCCGGATAATTCAGAGAGGAATTCCAGACATCAGAACTATCTAAGTGGGGCTTACTTGGCTCTTTCATTATTACCATAAGAGACTGCTCTTCAGTTACCTTGAAATTGGTTATCAGGCAAGAAATCTTGAAGGTCTAATATTAGGAAGTATTTTTTACTTTATGGAAATGTTATCTAGGAATTTTTCATCATACTTGACTTCTGATGAAGCAGTGAGAAGAATTTTTCTCAGGGCTCCTAAAATGTATTAGTATCTTGCAAGAAGATATACAATAGAAATAGTCTGTTTTAGAACATATATTAAAAGCAATAGTGGGCATTCACCTCTCCTTTAGTCCAACCTCTATTTGTTTTCACCTGGTATATCTGGGTCACATGGAGAAGTGTATTCTCACAGCCAGTTCAACCCTAATGCCTGTGCATAAGCTGATGAGGAAACTATTTACGTCTAGCTGGAAGCAGGCCCCTCAGGCAGGGGCTGCTCAGAGTGTGGAATCAGGAATCTGGTATCTGAGCCATCTTTCTAGGAACATTTTCCAAGAGAACAACCAGAGAAATATTGCTCATTTGGAACAGGCTGTGCTGCCTGCCTCTGGGCCAGCATAATGAAGGTCACCAGGTAATAATCTAGTACAAAATCAAAGGCTAGAGAGGGCTTAGTCATAACTGGACAAGAAGTGAATAACAATTCCTGAGGTGCGAAGTAGCTATTCAAACTTCCCTTGGTGCAGGAGGACGTGCAGTAGACTAAATGGCTTGTGAGGGTTTTCTTCCTCCTGTGTTCTTCTGGAGCCCCTCAGTTCTCCTGCGTTTTCCATACACAAAGCATCTCGTCAAGTAAAGCAAGATACATTTCACTGAAGGCTAACACTAAGAAGGAATCAAGAGCAAGTTTCTGAGGAAAATGTCAGATGGACATCTCTTCCAAGTGTTTGGAGCAATCCATGATGATGGTGGGATGATGCAGACTATTCTGGCTGGAGAAGGTTAAGAAACTCCCACCACGGCAGTTTGCTTCACCACTGCTGGCTCTGGCCATCCTAGAACACCATGTCTGTGCCTTTTGTCGCATCTTGTCACCTTAAATTGAAAGGCCACTAAAAGGTTGGACCGGGTGACCTGGTGAGGTTACACCTGGCCTACATCCCCCTAGGAGCATGTTTGTGGCTGCCTGACATGGTGAAGGCAGCAGCAGTGAAACCGCTGGTCTCCAGCAGCTGCTCCTTTAACAAATAGCCAGCATTCATCAGTTTTACTCTCCAAACTGAAATGCCCAAGTTCTTACTTGCATCTGGAGTACTACAGCTGTCTTGAAGCCTTGGGATTTAAGAAACTATTTTTTAAAATTTGAATATAAAGACTCTGCATAAAAATTACCCTTGAAGTGTGGTTTGTGGACAGACAGGCCATGAAAGAGACTTGCATTTCACTATATGTGAAAATACGTGTGTGTGATTTCATAGACTACTGTGTATGAAAATAAAAACCAAGACCCCAGCTGTGTGTAGCTTTGGGATCTTTCAACACGCCGTTAGGTGGCACTCCTTACACGTAAGGAATTGTTATTTCTTCCTCTCGAACCTGTGCAGGGAGAGAACAGAGTGCAGGATTGCAGGTTCGTATTTCACCTACACTGCACTCCAGGCTGAACGTGGACCAGCAGCAACCCTGACTGGACCACAAACGAGGTAAAGGAGGAGGAATAGTGGTGATGGGGGGGGGCGGAATTTACAGCTAATAGGTTCTCTGAGTGATTCTTTAACTTTGCTGCAAGAAGGACTGGGAAGATGAGAGAGCAGCTCATTTTTCTAGTTCAGGGCTCAGGAGTAACCCCAAAGGCATCCTTCCGTGGGTTACAGATCTCGCTCTGCTTGCATCTGTTACAGTGACAAAGCTAATTTTCTGTCACCATTTGGAATCAACACAGCTCTGCAAGAGATGAAGTATAGAGTTTTAGGAAGCCAGAGGGGTTTATAAAACACAAAACTCCTGTGCCTCGGCTAAGCCAGGGAGCCAGAGGGGTGTAACAGCTCCAGGGAAGAGCAGTATACTATAGGTGTGAAAGGTTAAAATGGGATATGGCCATGGCCTTAATTCCTCTGTTTCCTTTTCGCTTCTGCCACGCCAGGCTGCTTTAAGACTCGATTTAATTTCTAAGCAGGTGCAGCAGCTTGGCCTCAATAGCTCACCCTGTCTCTGTTCCATCCATCACCTTTCGTTCACATAATTTTGCCTTAGTATGTCTCGGACGTGACATTTCTTAAACGGTATAACAAAGAATTTTTGAAGGGGCAAAACCCAACAAGTCAAGTATTCGGCTTCACAGTGGCTTAATTTAAAAGCAGTGATTATTTTATTTAACTGATGTCCATCTCTGGATCATAGTTTTTTGTGTTTACTGCAAGTATCTTCTCTTCAGAGCTGTTACTAGTGGCATAAAAAGTGTAGGGGAAGATGTGGGCTAGAGCTCAGTGAAGGCCTGGTACAGGATATGAGCTATAGGAACTTGGTTTTGTTGGGGGTTTTAATTCTTCTTGTGGCTACAGTAAGCAATTTACAAAGGCAGGATTTACATTAACAGTACCTACATGGGAAATTTAATTTAAAGAAGAGAAAAGCAAAGGTGGCTGAATATGGAAACAAGTTTCCTGCAGAGGTCGTGGAGTGTCCATCTTTGAAGATACTCAAATCCCAACTGCAAGTGGTCTTAGGCAGCCAGATCTGTGTGACCTTGTTTAAGGGCAGGAGAGCTGAACCAGACCACCTTCAGGAGCCCCTTCCCACCTAAACAGCCCTGGTTTCCACCTAACAACCCCAGGAGCACTTCAGGTCAAACTGAAATTACAGCTGAAGGCAATTAAGGTACACCTGCTTGTACCTTGCCCTGGTACAGCCTAGAGGTGCTGACACCATCTCTGACCATCAGCTGATTCCCAGATGTGCGTTTCTTCCTCTCCCTGCAAGGTCTGGCCTGGGCAGCTCTCATTATTGTCACCACGCAGACTATGGGGATGAGGGATAAGTCTCCTGTCACACGCATCAGACACTGGGGCACTTCAGGAAGGAGCTGGGCAGGTGCCGTGACACAAGGACAGGTACAAGGAAGCTCTGCCCTGCCAAGCCTAATTGCTGAATCCTCTCCAAGTTCCACTGTGGGGGGGAAGGATTATCAACCCTGCAGACAGCATGAATTAAAACTCAGACTTAATTAACTTTGAATGTACCTAGAAGAGATTTAGAATGCCAGAAAAGCACCTCATGAGAGGAAACAGGAGGTATTTCATGCACTACAAAACCTTAAGTCTATCCAAGCTATCAGGCAGCATTTCCCAGGCAATATGGCAGAGTCAAAACAACTCTTCCAAGAGGTCTCACGGCTGACATTTGGGCTTAGGCTTGGGCCATGAAATGCAATGTTGCTGAAGCAGACACACATCCCAAGTGACAAGCAATCCCATGACGCCACCTGCTCTCTCTCTCATTGCTGTATCCCGCTCCCGGTGTCCCAGTCACAGCCTGGCCACAGGTGGCCTCCCACTCCCCGCCTGCCTTCTGGGATTTGTATAAGCCTTGGGTTGATCGTGCAGTACGTGCCCTCCCTCCTCATCTCATTGCATAATGTTGCATGGTTGCAGAGTTACAGAAACTCTCAGCTAGATACTGTAATTTCCTAATGTGCTATTTTAAATAAAGGGTTAAATTAAAAAAAAAAAAAAACAAACTCAAACAGGTATAATGTTCTTATAGTGCAAGTGAGAAAAAAATAAAAGTAGTCAA